TTAAAAAAACTCAAAAACTGATCATTATCATTATTATTTTATTACCCTTTTAAAAGGATTTTCGTTTTACATATATTTATTTTAATCATTGCGTTCAAAGTTTGTTTAAAAAAAATAATAATAGCAAGAATATAATTACGGTTTTCAATGTTCACCAATGACTGTATTTATGGCAATACTTTCAACTGGAAATAAAGCACACGAAACGAAACGAGCGCTTCCACCCCTAACACTGTGTCTGTGTTTATACTATAAATATTTTATGTTCGTTTGAGTGTAACGAATTAGAACATAAAGGTGGTTAATTTGGGACATTCGAAATTTATATCTCCAAATATTTTTCACTCGCTAAAACAGAATAGCATGCTCATTTCTAAGCGAATTTTCCGACCAGACCTTATGGACTACTAATGAAGAAAGAAAAGATATGTATCCCCGAGAGAAGAAGGTATAGAAGTGCCTCAAAAAGCCACCAGATATTGTGTGTCTGGGCAGACTGTGTACGAGGCATGCAGAAGGATGCCAAATAGTACCACGGCCGACCAAAGCAGACTGGCACCGGTGACAACATGCCTCTTTTATGCTGTCAAGACTTGGTGGATTTGAACATTTGACTGGCCAGTCATTTCTGAAAGCACCAATGGAAACATCAATATCAAGTACGCTCCAGAAAAAATATTTAAGGGGCTAGATTATTTTAAGGTTCATGTAAGAATTCATAAGAAGCTGTGGATTTTCAAACCCATGGAGTTTACCTTTAGCACCGACAAAATAGCATGCGTTTTGTAAGGATAAAACACTGATTTGTAAACCTGTAGTTAAGATACTAACTTGACTTTATTACTTTTCAATAAAATACTAATTGAAAAGAAACCCACCTGTAACTGACAAGTAGCTATTTTTTAGTAGTGTCTTGAACATAATTGTATAATCGGTGTTGATAGTATTTAGTTTTTGCCGGCACGTGTTTGTTAGACAAGTCAGATTCTCGCAACGAGTTTCACGTTGATTCAGATGAAAGTTGTTACCAGTTGTTTCCAGTTGAAAGTTGATGAAAGTTGATGTAAGTTGACATAAGTTGATGTTAGACAATAAACAGTACCGTTTGTTACCAGTTGATGTTATATATCGTTGACAATTGAATAAAATTGACTGACACCCGCAACACCACCTATTGTTCAACTTCAAGCAAAATGGTGCAACATTTTTGTCGCCCCTCTATATGTTTGACACTCCCTCCCCCTCCAAAGAAAAAAATGTGACTTCAATTTATCTTTTAACTCGTGTACATCACATACATCTCGCTAACTCTACAACAGACTTATTAAGGGGGATAGACACATTAAAATGCCTTATTAAAATTTGTCAAAAAAGTTTTTCTCATTTCTTTTATGTAAAACACTTATCTAGATATTAATGCAAAAAAAGTTAATCACTTTTCTGTTTCTACTGATCTTGCTTTTTCTTTTTCCATATGTGTAATGATTCTATTACTTGTCTTCAGGCTTGAAAATCAGTTTTGCTACGGGAAACTTTCTGGGTGAGGGGGGTATCTTAGGGTTATTGGTTTGGGACCCCCCAAAAGGGACAGGTAGTCACTTGATGATCAGAAGAAAATGACACATTTGGTGACACGTTAACTGCACAACATTTTACCGCTGTAAACAAGGTGAGCCCTGCCCTGTAGCCAATGTTCAATTATAATAAATAATAAATGAATAAATAAAATAAAATAAAATAAAAGACAGGACAAGTCATTTCTGCGGTGGCAACTAAACGTCAGACAACACCCACCCATCTTTCGTCAACTAAAGCACAAAAAAACTTTTTTCCCTTATTTTGTTTAAGGTTTTACTTTGTACACAAGCTCATAATATTCGAAAATAATCAAGGACTTACCAAACATCCGACACATTATTTTGCTCCTCGTGAACTTCTCTACATCCACTGACGGTTTAAACTTTAAGCAATTAATAAAAAGTCATATGCCAGTATAGCTGACCATGTAGAGACAATAATTTATTGTGACAATAAATTATTGTCTCTACATGGTCAGCTGTACTGGCACTGGTCATATGCCAGTATAGCTGACCATGTAGAGACAATAATTTATTGTACTGGCATATGACTTTTATTCGTGTGAATACTTGTAGTATCGCGCAAAAGTGTAAAATTAGAGGGTGCCTTTGGGTATTTCGTTTCCAGTGAAAGTCACTTTTTTATTTCACAAGATGTGTGGAACGTTGTTTTTATTAAGAGTGATCTGTGAAGCACCCCATTCCCGTGACTAGTGGATGCGGTTTTTTATTCTCCGCCACTCATGAAACGAAGCCATCACATCTAGTTACTCGTGATATTAGGGATTTTCGACACGCATTTTCAGTGACATATGAATAAAGCATAATTTACTGTGATTTGTGAATTGGTGATTTAAATTCATGTGAACTGTGATCACTACCCCCCCCCCCCAATGGGACCCACAGCTAAGTATCACCATGGCCGAAACAAATTGAACCATATGACAATTATTGAAGGTGGACCGTCTACGTCACAATGGACGCTCTGATCCATATCGCTCTACTGGTCAGTTGCATATAAGGCCGTTTTACACGCCTCCCAATACTTGAAAAATGTATTGGTGCACATTGTACTTAAAGACCCATATTGGCTTTGTTACGACAGACATGTATGACTGGGTTTTATAACGTGTCATGAGGCTGATATCTTCATAGTCTATCATCATAAAATGTCATGTGAAATGAACACCCAGCTCTTCGGGCGGGCTTATAAGTAACACACCTGTTGGCAGGCTGTTGCACATAAGTTTTTTTCTGTCTTAGATATAAAATCTTTACAAAATTTTTTTCTAATTGCCTCCAATTTTTGCCATTGAATTTTCTGTAGAAATTNCAGCTAAGTATCACCATGGCCGAAACAAATTGAACCATATGACAATTATTGAAGGTGGACCGTCTACGTCACAATGGACGCTCTGATCCATATCGCTCTACTGGTCAGTTGAATATAAGGCTGTTTTACACGCCTCCCAATACTTGAAAAATGTATTGGTGCACATTGTACCTAAAGACCCATATTGGCTTTGTTACGACAGACATGTATGACTGGGTTTTATAACGTGGTATGAGGCTGATATTTTCATCATAACTTGTCATGTGAAATGAACACCCAGCTCTTCGGGCGGGCTTATAAGTAACACACCTGTTGGCAGGCTGTTGCACATAAGTTTTTTTCTGTCTTAGATAAAAAATCTTACCAAGAAATTTTGCTAATTGCCTCCAATTTCTGCCATTGAATTTTCTATAGAAATTTCATTTATATTATTTTTTTGGATATCCAGCTTTTTGAAAAATGTATATCTGTCCTCTATATAAGCTGTGATATATTATATGGTATTTTCAAACTTTTAATTTTAATTTTTTTTGGGGGGGGGGCGCGGACAACTATTAAGAAATGAATATTATTGATAATTTTTTTCCTACTTTATCGCAAACCTATTGGTTTTAGACATATGAAAATCTCAAATTCGGATTAATCCAGGTGAGAAATTTTGCCATGCCATTTCGCTTGAGCTTGAGGCTACGAAGGAAAAAGTAGATTTTTCGATTGAAAAGAGATCTTTAGTCCGGAGCCCTTTCAATGTCAGGGCAGCAGGTGAGGATAAGGAGTACCTTTTACTTTCCGCGTGATTGGCTTTATTTTTTCGAGCGCGATTTGTTATTTGAGCCCAATATTCTGAGTGAAACGTGATAAAAGAAAATCTTTTTTCCGCGTTATTAGAGATTGGCCTGAATATACCTTGAACAGTATACATTTACCTGGGTAGACAATTAAAATGTTATTATGTCCTCATAATGTCCGATACTTAAATGGAGGCATGTAAGTAAACAAGGGCTACGTAGCACGGTATAATGTGGAGAGAGAGAGAGAGAGAGAGAGAGAGAGAGAGAGAGAGAGAGAGAGAGAGAACTGAAAAGCAGGAAATAAAGAGTATGAAAGAATATAAAATAAATGTTTTATAATTTCACCTCGCGCAACATCTAAACAAAAGTCAGTGCCATCTCCACATTAGCATTGATTTTGAACATCTTTCCATTTCTTAATCGAGTTTTGCCCTGCTTACTAACCTTTTAAAGGTTTTTAAAAATTTTTTTTTTCAAAATTTCACAAACGGGATTTTTTGCTTTCCATTAGTATGGGGGCGGGAGCGTTGTTTTATTTCTCATATAAGGAATGCTTGTTTAACCCGAGGCATAAGTGCTGACAAAAGGTATGACGCATATCCTAACTACACGTACATGTATTAGCCTTGTGTTCGTATATTTCTCCTGCAGCTACATTATGTAATACAGTTGCACTAGTTTTAGTATTGTTTGGAACAGTGTCTAGTACAAGGTTTACATAATCCATATTATATTCTCCTGTCAATGATCGACCTAGGCTCTGTTCAAAACCAACTTGATTTGTGGACAATCTAGCCACTATTCAAATATGACCGACCCACCTGAAAGCTTGTTACGTAATTCCCTGTTTGATTACCCGCGGAGATTGCACGACAAGCTTTCAAGTGGATCATTGGAGACAAGAAGTTAACCTGTTTTAAAGAATCATAAAAAAACTATCATGGTGGTTTTCTCATATGAGTCGGCCATATTTGACCCTCGGACTAGTCAGTTCCCTATTCTGAATGGTCTCTAAGAGGTATGATGGGTGCACATGCATGTTATATGTTGTCTGGGGTTACATTATATAAGCACTATAGCTGGGCCAGAGTAACAATTATCCCCTCCCCACCTCATTTCTATTTAAATGTCATGGCAAGTAATAATGAATATTTTTAATAGCATTAATAAATTTTTAGCCAATAACTATACTGAATATATTCACCAGTTTTGCAGTCTGGTGTTATATATTTCATGGCCAGACCTTTCTTGGTAATTAAATTTCTTATAAAATAATTTTCATAATTTTAGAATCAAAATGAGGCAATGCAGTATCAAATAGAGTTCTGTGACATGGTATTTTTATTTTTAAAGCTTTTAAAACATTCTCACTCGAGGTTTCAGAATTCAAATCTCAATTCCTGAAACAATGTCCTTTAAATGTAAAATTAATTTCATTTGAATCCTTTTCTCATATGTATAATGAGTCATACGTGTAACAACTAAAATATATTAGTATCTTATTTGGAATGTTATTTAGGAATGTCCATTGTAAGTAAATAATACTGTTAAAAACCCATACAAAAGTTAACTACCAGAATTACTTACATGCATTATACATTTGTTGATAAAAATACTTTAACATGTGAAGTCTACCCCAGAAGTGTTTTCTATCTTTTCTTACTAAAATACTTCTATTTCTAATGTGCATGTATTAGGACATAAAAAAATATTGAAACAATCATTTGCAGTAAATTGTTGTAAATTTTGATTTGTTCATAAAAAAGGTATTTACTTGATGTGACACTGTATAAAGAGAGACATAAAATGTCTTAATAGAGATACCTTGAATAACTTAGAAATTCACTTCTTACAGATTGACTATATGTATTACAGTTAGCTAATCCTGCATAGCATCTGGATATCAATGTTCATGGATAGCTATATTACACATTGCAGTTTTGTTTGTTGAAATCACATATCAGTAAAATGGAACTTTACATACTGCATACAAAAATACAAATTTTTCTCTGGAAACCTTGGAAAAATGCTATGTAATTAATGTGACAAAAAGTAATAAAACATGATATTGTTTAAAACTGCAAACAGTGCAACACAAACTGTCATAAAAATATATAAGTAACTTTTGCTGATACAAATCTGTTCCGTAAATCTGATTGCAGCATTGTATTTCAGGTTATTTCCCATGCCGTCTTATATATATATGGAATACAAGTTTATGCTGGATATGAAATTCACCAGTGAAAAACCATATAACCTCCCATCAGGGATATGTTATATATAATCCATCATGTCTATAACTCAATAATAAGTCATCATTATGAGTCTGATAACAGCTATGGATTTCTCTCTTCTTGTTAGTTTAGATAAGGTGATAATGAGGCAGCATTCAGCCAAAATTTACTCCTGTTCTATAATATCACCCTCCAGATAAAAATAAACTTTGTTTGGATTAATAAAAAAACAAAACAAAAAAAAATAGAAATACATATAGAACAAATCTCATTTGCCATGGTCATCTTAGCCAAGAGAATGTGACTAGTTATATCTAGAAAAGTAGGATTTTGGAGTAGTAAAGTCACTGTGCAATGTCTCTTCAAATGCAGTAAGATCCACCGGTTGGCCGTCAGTGTCCTCGTAGTATTGGTAAGCTGAGCGGTGGTATGGGTAGGACGCCATAGCCTCTGATGTTTGTCCTAGTCTGTTATCATAGCCATTTTCTCCTACTGGCGTGCCATAGCCATCGTAATAGCCATTGTAGTAGTTCCAATCCTCTGGGCCATAGCCATTGTAAAAATAACCATTTCTTGAGGCTGTTGATAGGGCCTTTGAAGGTTTTCCAGTTTTTCTAACTTTGCTGGAGAAAAGAAAGAAAGAGTTTTTAAAATTAATTTTTGATACATTGAAGAAAAGTCATTTTACTATGAATAGTGAGTGCTATTTGTACAACCAATCGAGTTGATTGTTTATTATGTCATTAGAAATGAACTTCATTTATGCATATGTAATGCAGTCTTATATATCTAAGTGGAAATTTTTAATTATCCTATATATAATAGATTTTCATTAAGAACAAATATTGTATTGGATATTATCAATTGATCTTTTTCTTATGAAATATACATTCAAATTAAATGTGACTCAGTTTAATCTGAAAACTGATACAATTTCTTGATGTCAGCCCTTTTTTAAAAGTAAACAGCTGCATAAATATGGCCATGAATAGATTAACGTATCTAGCATCTTTAATTTTTGGAAATTCTATTAAAGAGCTGTTTTAGCCAACCATTGCTCCCTGCTACTAAAAAACTTTTACTTACAAGCAGAAGTAACAGATGCCGAATATCCCCAGTACTGTAAGTAGTGCAGCAAAGCCAACACTTAGGCCAACAACTGCTTCAAAGGACAGCTCTGACCTCAGATCTGCAAACACAACGTAGTGGACACTTTTAACCAGATTTCAAGCTACTTTAGTAATAAATTGTCAGCAATTTTGATATCATTATTATATTTGTTAGCGTTTTATGTCCATGTAGATAATATCAACATGTTAAATTTGTTTGAAAACATTATTGAAAACACATTTTGAAAAAATGCGTTTAGATATGGATTTTTAGCACAAAAAATCATCATTTAATCTCTTTTCTCATTAGAGTATAAGTTTGGTGAAAATAACTATCAAGTACACCAGTTTACAATTCAAATACCATACCCAGTGAAATATACAGGTGTGCACTGTCGCGGTATCTCCGCAGTTTCTTACCTGAATGGATGTGACAGAACTCCCCCTCATAGTTGGGGTTACATATACACTCAGGCTGGCCAGTGGTCTTCAGCTGACAAGTGCCCTGCTCACAGTACTTGGTGGGTAGGCTGTCATTACACAGGCCTGGAATAATACAGTAAAACAGTGTTAAATACAGGGACAGCGTGCGTGTGTGTGTGTGTATGTGTGTGTGTGTGTACACTCATTTTAATTTTATTATTTTCCATACATTATACCAAAAATATAATATCTGATTTTTTTATGTTCACAGAAAATTACTCAAATGCACACACTCACATAAGGGCACACACACACACACTAGACTTAAATTCTGTGAAGACGCGGTACTTCAGTGAAGTTGAGAGTGAGCATTACTTACTGAGGCAGTCCTGCAGTGAGGTTGAGAATGAGCAGTACTTACTGAGGCAGTCCTGCAGTGAGGTTGAGAGTGAGCAGTACTTACTGAGGCAGTCCTGCAGTGAGGTTGAGCTGCTGTTGACAGTGTTGGTGTATACAGGACAGGACATGCAGGCATACTGTCCACTCTGGTCCTGATAAGTCCCCACTGAACACACAGCACATGTGTTGGCCTCATTCTTTGTCCCTGGTGGACAGTTTGCTAAATAAATATAAAGCACATGTTTTGAAAGTGTCAATATAAAACTGAGGACATAAAGTTGGTCATGATCCTTACAAGCTCAAACATTAGTTAAAACATCAGATTTTCAAGTTTTTAAATACAAGTTACTTGGTTGATAATCACAATCAACCTATATCAATAAATAAATAAATAAATAAATTTAAGCAATCAATTTATTAACTAATTAAATGAAAATAAAATGCATCCAGAATATCCTCAACTGAGTCATAGAAAGCAAACGTTAAAAAAAATCTGTGACAGTTCAGCAGCAGCACCTGCTTTACAAACTGTATTTTTATAAGACATCAATTACAGCAAAGTAGATGGTTGCATTCAGAGAGGTAAGCTAGAGGCATAGACATAATTAGATCCAGCTGTCTACATTGATTGACATGTATATACCCTAGTCATCTTTCTATAATACTTTTATTAACTAGATTAATGAAAATACCATCCACTTACACCCCTTTCCCCCAAAATAAATTAATTAATGATGAAAATTAAAATAAAATATCAAGGAGGAAGATAGAGGAGAGTTGTCTGTTGCCTGTTCTATAACTCACTGTAAATATAAAAAGACTGCAAACACATCTAAAAATCATAAGTGACAATCACTGACCTTGGTCACATTGAGATTCATTGGTGGAGCCTTGGTTCCTGGTCAGCCGACCATTACTACATGGAGTGCACGACTCAGGGCCATCCGTGTCTTTGTAGGATCCTATGGCACAGGGTCGGCAGGTGCCTGACTGGTCTTCCTGACCCAGGGGACAGCGATCTGAAATATCACAGTGTGAGTGAAAATTGAGGGTGCATTCACAATGCACTACCTCCACAGGGACTCTTGCTGAATGCAATCAACTTAACATAGCAACACATAAACATTGTGAAAAGACCCTTAAACTTGGGCAGGCAGCTCTTTATTTTCCCTTACATAAGCCAACATCTTTTTTATAGAAAAACATAACATTCACAACCATTAAAAGGTGTATAAGAAGTACAACTCACATTTGCACTCTGTCAGTGCTGTGGTTGCCATGGTTGCTGTAGTTTTGTTATCAGGACAGAGAATACAGCTGGTCTGCCATTTGTCTGGTTGGTAGGAATTCAGTGGACATGGTACACAGCTGTTGTTGGAGCTATGGATGTAATAGCCAGCAGTACAATTACCTGGAATATAGATATATGGTGAATTACCACTTTGACAAAGGTGCTATTTCAATTCTCTCTTGAGTCAACCATTAGGGGGTAAAAAGTTCTACTCAAGTTCTTCTAAGATTGCTGGCTATGGATTTCCTTACCAATATTACAGTCTGTTTCCCTGGTGGTGCCATTACCAGCAGTGATCTTGTCAATAGGGCAGAGCACACAGGGCAGGAATTTAGAGAGGGGAGTCTTTGAGTTCTCTTTGTAGTACCCTCTCGGGCAGGCTGTACACGAGGTGCCATTGCCTTCCTGACCATCTGGGCAAAAGGCTGGAAATAAAACATCCCCGTGTGATAAGTAATTATGTAGTGTTTTACTTTCAGATTTTCGAGATCTTTCAGGCATTAATAAAGTGTACTTTTTGGCATAAAGCTAAATAATTTTCAGTGTTAATTGGGGCAGAAGGGTTTAGCAAACATAGTCTACTGACTATGAAATGAGGAACATTTGCAAATATTATCCTTTGCACTGGGATTCAACAGACCTAGTTAATTAATCCAGTCAGAGTAATCTGTGAAATCAAGAGCCTAGAAATATTTAATTGTGAATTGGCTCTATGCAAATAGTTTGAAAAACTTTCAATGTCATGTTTTTAAGACAGGAATCAATCAAGCTTTATTCAAAATAAACAAGATGAATCTTTTCCCTACCTTCACACTGAGAGGAGTCTGTGGCAGTGGCAGTACGGGTATCTTTGTCAGATGGACAGTCCTGGCAGGTTTGATTGGCTATGGGATCTGTGATAGGATATGACACTGAGCGATACTTCTTATAGCCACAGGGCTCACAATATGTTCTACTGGTGCTGAGTTTGAGGCCTGCACTGCAGTTTGCTGAAACACAATATATAATATTGTACAAAAGAGTTCAATAAATACATGATAAATAACAAGTTTCACTAAAACTGTTCTTTAAATTGATACACAACTATGATGAGTTATAGCACTTAATAACCACCTGTACCATTTCCCTAAAATCCTGTCATAAAAAATGAAATATTAAACTTAATTCAGATGACCCTATAAATGGTATGTGTCAATTAATCATCATGATCACAAAAACAAACAAAAAAAAAAAACAAGGCAGCAAAGCTGTCAAATGTACAGACAAAGAATAGAAAATAAAGATGCAAATAAGTGAAAAATTAAATTTTCACAAAAAACTGTTAAATTGCCAGAAAAATTTACCAAACAGACTGCGTTGCCTATTGAAGCTGTATTTTAGTCCCATGTTTCTTTCCTATAAGTTTGAGAACAGTAAGTGACATGATTTCCCTTAAATGGTCATCATAGGAGCAGTGCCCAAAAAAGGGGTTTCTTCAAATTTTGATACAACATTAAATAATGTTTAACAGCATAATGACAATCAAATGTTATTAACAAAATATTAGTAACATGGACATTCAGAAAATGTGACAAGCAAAAGTCTTCAAGATCATGGAACTTCAAAGTCACACCTTGAAAATGCCAATATGTGAAAAATTAAATTTTCACAAAAAACTGTT